AATTTTAGTGATACACACAGTAAGTTTATCTACGAGTATAATGTACGATTAAACTCAAGTCTGAAATTTTGCGATTTGTACTACACCATCGTCATCATCAGTCCTTATACATACATTCCCACTGCAGGAGCCCAGGCCTTCCTTATGGATGGTTAAGAAGGATAAGCCATGTTCCTGACTGCAAATGCAACCGGGACTAACAGCTTAACGTGCCTTCCGAAGCACAGAGTAATACGAGATAATAATTTTTTTTTGGTCGCTCACATCGTTACGTATATAATAAAACCGACCCTTGCGAAAGTTGCTTAACAACAACGATCGCGAGCCGCGGCGCTTTTCAGCAACACCACTGAGTGATAAACTTGAAACTATGTGATATATTTGTAATATATCACTGTTCGCGATTTCTGCGCAGACGCACAGACAGAAATACTAGTCAAACTTATACCACCCCTTCTTGTATCGGGGGTTCAAAAAAGAATCATTACATGAATATTACACAGCATAAGGAAGTAACTTGTAACTTAATGTAAGTTCAGCATTTGTACCTACTGGTGTATACCTACCTTATTCCTGCTGTATTTAACTAAATAATCACACGGTATACATTACCTCAGAGCAACCACTTTAATTAATGCAATGCATCTTCAGATTAAGAATCTGACATATTCTCCCAACATCTGTTTGTAATATAATTAATACATAGAAAAAAACTATACCGCTTCTCGCTGTCTGTACGCTGAAATGTTTTAAACTACACAACGAATATTAATGCGATTTTCATCATTGTGTATAATTATTCAAGACGAAGGTATATAATAAAACAGGACAAAGCCGTTGGCGGAAAGCTAATCTTACGAACATCATAAGGCGAAAGTTTCTAAGTTTGAATGTTTGATACTTCTTTTTTAAAAGTTTTGATATTTTTTTAGACTCATCGGTAAGCGGTGCCGTATTACATCTGGTCAAAGTATCAAGATTACATATGGGCGCTTACCTTTGCATCGCCAGCAATGGGGTGCCACCTTCCGTTAGCAAACGCGTCATGCTCGTGGTACATTGTAAGTATTTCATTTTAAAACTTTTTAGTATTTTGTTTACTTTCAGAAAATATATATTTGTTTAATCTCATCAGTTAAATACATTTAATAACACCTTATCGACAACACCAGTTGCAACTCTGGTGCCTTACTGAAGCATCTTCTCCAGTACTCCGCAGCTGCTTTTATCAGACCAACTACAGTTTGGCCTTGCACTTCGGGGCAGGTCCTAGTGGTTATAGAGCTCCAATTTGAGATATAGAGTGCATTACCTCTGCGTTAACAAAAACATTCGTAGCGAGAAAAGCTTTTGTTAAAATACTGCTAATATTGAAACACGATAATATAATTTCAATGATGAGGCACATGAAAACTTCTACTAACTGCAGGAACGTGACTTAATAGTTTTAAAGAATAACAATTAAATACAAAAGAGTGGCAATAACAATTATATACAAAAGATTTCAGAATGTCCACAAAATCTTCAGATCCGTAAATGTCGAATTCCTGAAATCTCCAATTCCCAAAATGTCCAATTTTCGTAATGTCCAATTCTCGAAATTACTTTTCTTCATAGGACTACTACTAAGTAATGTCTAATTTTATCTATTTTCAGAAAATCGTACTCCGACTAAACATAAAATGAGTTTTTCGAAATAGATAAATAAAGACTCCAATAAACGAGTTTTTTTTTTCTCTTATTATAGGTTTCTGAAACAGATAATTTACTAAATAAACTAATAAAATCATCCTCATTTAATGGAGTTTAAATTAATAAGTAATTTTCTTTCGCCAAATGTAGCCTCATTGAAATCTCAATAATGTTATGATTTGCCATCTGAATAATTCTTTTTTTTTTATGGAAATAATATTAATTGCATATCTTTTTTTGAATATATTATTAAGACTGAATTATCAATGTAAAAAGAGAAGTCGAATTTACCTCATCAAGACATTGAGTAGAAAGAGTAAATTGAATCTTGTCCTTTTTAATGAAGTTTGTTAAAAGCACTTTACGTTTAGCATTTCTTGTGATAACTTCAAGAAGAATTATGTAAATCTTCTCTTTAAATAGAATTTGGAATGTTTTATATTTTGCTTTAATAATGCTATATTGATATTTATCTCTTCGTGGAATAAGTGCAAAAGTCCCAACTACGATATGAATGTTAAACTTTTAAAAGTATTTATCTAACAATATATAATGTTCAACTATTTATAAATAAATTCTAAATGTAACTGTAAAGTACTTAAGTGCGGGCTTAAAACAACTACGGATTGCACTGATATTTGTTTAAAACAAATAACTCTTATAAATATTTCAAAAATCGTAATTGATTTTAATTAAGAATATGGTTTGAAATTTTTTTTTTCCAAATAAAAGTTATGCTCAGTAATTTTTTCGTTATTTCTATGTTAAGGTAGGTAGGTTATATATAGGTTTCAGAAATATTCTTACGAAAAGGTTGCTTATATTGAATTCTGAAACACGCAAGACAATGTTGACCTTATAACGGAATAAATTTACACTGACAGCTTCGGTCTCACTTTTTAACTTAGTTAAGTTTTATCGTCTTATGACGTGCAACTTAAGAGAGCGTATACACCAAAAATCACAAATTTTCAATTAATTTTGTACTACCAAATAATCTGTAATTTAAAAAGAGTAAACCACTTCATATTTATAAGGGAGTTTCCATACTTAAAATATAAATTACAAAAATTTTCTCTAAAGAAGAAAAATCATAAAATTGTGATGACAATCCCGAATTTCACCATATTCACATTTGTTATTATATTTTCAAATTTATCGCGAATTATAAAAAAAAACCTTGCAGAGCACTTATACAACCATCGTAATGGTTCACAAGTAATAAATTAAATGCTTTTTGACGCGCCATATACTATTCTCTGTCTCTATTTCATCGATGGGTGTGTTGATTTCGTCTTTTTTCGTTTTGCCTTAACGTTCAACCTAAACTCGGTCACAGGTGGTAAATAAAACACTATTATATCCTGCCGTGAACAAAACGATAGCGTGTCGTAGCCCCTAGACTTTTTTAGGTAACATAATAATATCTTATGTATTATGTATATATATAATGTCGAACAGATTAATCTATAATCGAAGTTATATATCGCGGATAACATACAAAAAAGTTGACTGAAAAGCCTCCTCTTTTAAATATTAGTACATATTCGGTAATTATATTCAAACTTTATTTTGAAATTGAATATTACGTATATAGGAAATTGGCAACAATCCAGATACTCAAGAACCAGTGGACGATAACGCTACCCGAGCTGCCTGACCACTTTACGGCGTCTAATGCTATATTTCAAGTAAACAACTGCTTAGATTAAGATAACTAGCATTTATACATACCTTTCCTACGATAGTGCTTCAGTGGCGCCCAACGTGGAACTTGGACTAATTGCGCCTGCCAAACACATCACTATTTTGAAGCGTTATTTCAAACATTAATTATTATCATTTATTTCAAATATTAATTACTATGCCGATCATAATTAAGGTTATCAAAAAATTACACTAAAAATATCGATCCAAGAATAGCAAATCTTTCTTCAATTATTTTTTTTTAGGTCTGGGAGCCATTAGACGTAATTTAATAAAGATTTTATTAGCTGCGAGCTGGCAATACTCCCAACTCAAACCCAAGAATTTCGTATCTTATAAATACGTATATATTTTTACACTACTTCAGCAAAAACGCCCGTTATATTTGCATTAATGAGAAACAAATACAACTACAACACAACACCAGAGGAGCTACAAGCAGCTACGCGCTTGTATCTCCTCTGGTGTTACAGGTGTCCATGGGCGGCGGTAATCACTCACCATCAGGTGATCCGTCTGCTCGTCTGCCCTCTATCCCACAAAAAAAAGTATATTAAGAAGCTAGAATATCAGTCACTCGAATAATGTAACCTACCGGATCAAAACAATTGTACACAAACAACCATGTATTAAAATAACACTTATTATATGCAACAACTTCTAGAAATTCGTTGTTCAAATACAGCACGTGACCCGTACGAACAAAGTATCATTAACTCGGAGCAGCTGCTATTTTAAGTACTAAGCTCAAGTAGTATCGTGCACGTAGATTACTACTGGCACTAACGTTTATCCAAATGTTAGTTCGCTAGTGAAATTGAAACAGTATGTTAGCAACATCAAATTCTCAATGAGATAAAAGATTTCAATCAATGTGTTTTACTGGTAGCGAAACTACGGTGGATATATAAACGAAAATTTTCTTAATGAAAAGTGTTTTTTTATCCACTTTGTCTATTTATTCTATTAAGAATTGACGAATTTTTCAAGCACTTGTTACCTTTTCGCTACTACAGAGCGTATTTTCATCAACGTTCAGGCAATGAAAAATACTTAAAAAATGCACTTTGTCCCTGACACTCTGAGACTTTTACCCATAGAATAGGACTCTAACCCATTGCGATCACATTCACTTTTATTCGATTCACAATTGATCAAATATAATAAACAAAAATTTGATCGCTCATTATAGATCTTGTGAGGAAGTTCAATGTAAACACCAATGCTTGGTATTTTTGTGAATCTGTGAAACTTAGCACTTGAAATAAAGGTATCGCGGGCTAACTTAAAGCTTCCGTCTTGCCGTCGAGTGTTGTAGCGATATTACAACAATGAGTTAGATATTACCGCAATTCCTATCAATTCGGCTGAGCAATAGTCGATGTCAATTAGCTTCGCTCCTAACCACATGCCGAAAATACGACCGAACTGAACAGCACAGCTGTTCGTGAACAGCACGAACAAGAAATTGCCGCAATATGACATCACAAACACACGTAGAACACTTTTGTATTCCTTTGATTCTATTCAAAATAAGTCTTCAGTTCCATGTGTTTACGGATAATCCATTCGTAACAAAATAGTAACGAATATATTATCTTAACGAACGTGAATGTTACCACGAGAGTAGGGATGCGGTTCTCTTTATTGCTTTGCCTCGGCTAACATTTTAATACTCCTTTAGTAAACATTTGTTTAAGCTTTACTAGGTAATTTGTTGATCCTGGAGAGTTGTCCTTTGACGAGATGTATCGTTGTGCTAAAGCTCCATATTATTACAAGAAATTGTATAAATTATAATTATTAGATTTATATTTGCAAACTAAATTTTTAATAATAATACCAGTTTGCATTATAATATATTTATATTGTTCGATCAATAGTTATGACAAATACGATCATTAAATCCACCGATCATTAAATTTATGTACCTATAGTTTGTAACAGTTGAATGTATAAAAAAACATTTCTTAGTACATAAACCTTTTGGTTTCATTAAAGTACTATACTTATTACAAATAGTCTTATATAATTATGATAGAATTAACTCAAGATACATAACTATATACATACTATTAATTAAAAATAAATACCAATTATCATTTAGGACTTTGTGTAACTATTACTTACCCTTATTATATTTGTTTTTATTTTGTTATGTTATGTCATTACATGTTTTTTCTGAATTTTTTGTGAGATAGAATGGGAATATATAATACAATATGTATTTTTGTTATAGTTCCACCGATAATGACAATACAAAATCAACTGGTGGGCGCTAAGGAGGGAGACTCCGTTTTTTTAGACTGCCACTCGGAAGCGTTTCCTAGATCCATCAACTATTGGACAATAAACGACCAAATCATATCACAATGTATGTATATTTATATCTGTTCCATTCTGTTGTGTTCTACATAAGTTTGAAGAAGTTATACTATACTATCGGCAGTGTATATCAACGCTGTTATATCATCGAGTTAAATCAAATAAAACCTAGTTCAAAAAGTATTAAAGGCTCAGTTTCATTAAATTTCTATGCTGTGATTGCGTTGAGCTTGACGTCAAGTTCCAGGCTGTTACTACATAATAACATAACTCTAACCTGCGATTTTGTTTGAGTGTTCAGAAGTAATGTTGCATATTGGATTAAAATGTCCCAGAATAATAGCCTATGTCAATCTTAAGCTTTCCAGCTAATCTCCACGCAAAGAATCTCACTATACAATACTTTTTCGCAACGTCAAAAAAGACAAACACTGTTTCACTGCTATTTCGCCCGTGTAAATTATAGCCTATGTATGTCACCCGCGTAAGATGTAGCTTCCTGTAAGTGAGATAATTTTCATGATCAGCCCTGCGATTCTGTAAAAATCCAGACCCGAAATCAAATTCACTCATGTGTCCGAATTCACGTCATTTAGTGTAAAAATTCTATTGATTCTATTTTTTTTGTACAATAATACAAAACTAAATTGATTGAATAGACGTGTCTCAGATATTCTTTTCATATATCATTTCGAAACTCACTTCACTTATGCTACGAAACGTTATTACCAATTCAAGGTTGAGCGTATGCCTCTTTTTGAAGTCAATTCGGACACCTGAGAGAATTTAAATTCGGGTTTGGAGTTTTACAGAATCGCAGGGCTGATCGGTATTTCCAAAGATTATATATATGCCAATACAAAAAAAAACAAACACAATTAGAAACTTTATCTCTTTGGGATATCAGTATAGAATATTATAAACATGTATAGTAATAACATCCAATGTAAGAAAGTGTGTCATAATACCTAGTTAAAATATTTCAAAGCAATTCCTGTAATTCAATAAAAAAAAATCGGTCATGAACTGTAATTTACGTACTAACATACAATTTCAACCATCAAAATTATAGTTGTAATTGTGTTAACAAAGTAATCCATACGAAATTTCCCATTATTCAAGACTCCATTATCCGTGTAAGTTCAAAGTGTTTTGGTATTGTTAGTTGGACAGGTCAATGATATTATGAATGTCCATTTTTTATCATGACGCTATTGAATCAAACATGGAATGTCTTTTCATACTTATTCTCGTACATTCACAATTGTTACAATAAAATCATAAAATCCTTTCACCGAACAGGATAATTGCGTAATTATCCATTATAATATTACATATTCGATTTCGTTTCTAACAATAATTAGAACTAAGTTCTGTAATATTTATGATAGGAAATTCAAAATCACAAGGAATACTTTACTGTTTTAAATTTATAAAAGATAGTTTCTCACTTAAAATTTAAGCATTCATTAACAAAGACTATATTTAAATCTCTATGTTCATTAGGATATACAACTTTATTGTAAACTAGCTGTTTTCCCGCGACTTCGACCGTAAATTATAACCTATATGTCCCCCTGTATGTTGTAGTTTCCCGTAGATGAACGAACTTTTAAAATCGTTCAGGGCTTATGCAATGCGAACATATAATCGAATCTTTCGAATAAGCTCAAAAACAACTGGCCCAACTTTCAAAAATCGACCGATAGATCTTTCTCCTTTCTGGAAGCTACGCCATACGCGGAAGTTGCGGGAATACGGTAAATAAAATTAAACCTCTAAACATTTCTATCTACAATATCGTTTTTATCCTTCGTCTGATGTGCTCGATACTTTTAAAATATATTATTAGAAGTTAAATAGAATTAAATCTAGTAGTCTATGGCTAATATTAAAATGATAAACAAAAGACTATATTTTAGGTATAATCAGATTATTCAATTTTTTACAGCCGACAAGAGGTTCGAAATAGCTTCAATGGAAAGAGGGTACGAGGTAGACATGAGGCTGAAAATCAAGAAAGTGGGAAGGTCAACCTTCGGCACATACAGTTGCATATCAAAAAATTCTTTAGGAGATACTGATGGGACTATCAAACTCTATTGTAAGTGTACCATTCAAGATGCTCAAATATTGACCGAGTACTGCAACTAAGCCCCTACTACGGATTTTCGTAAACGTCTTTATATTTTTATAATACTTGATCAATTTTGTATTCATAATGCTATACTGGAAAATTATTCTTGATGAAAAATGCTTAAAAAATCCACCAGCCAGGTACTCTGAGGGTGAATTGCCTGACCATTGATGAAACTATGCTCACTAGTAGCAAAAAGTAACAAGTGCTTGAAAAATTCGTCATTTCTGTTACTTCTTGGGTAGCTCATTGGTTAGAGCATTCGCCCAGATTGCGAAAGGTCGTGGGTTCGTGTCCCATCTCACGGAACCTGGAGCTGGTGTTTTTTTAGATATTTTTCATTACGAACAAACTATTATTTCATCGTCATCCTATTTATGTCCCAACGCTGGGCCTTCCCTATTGATGGAACAAATTTAATCGAATAGGGAGAATGAGCTATAACCCACCACGCTGTTTGTAAAAGAACTGCAGATGCAGCCGAGAACAACGAGTTAAAGGGCCTTTTAAAGCAAAGAAGAGCTCTAATATTTGGTCACCCATCCTATGACCGACCCCTTTAAATGTTGCTTTACTTCTACGGAGATACCGTACGCTCCATAGCTACTAAAATAAACTATTATTTACTCTGTACATATCACTTAAAACTGAAACAAATTGAATATATGGATTTACATTCGTTTTTATGAAAGTTTCAAATTTCAAACCATGTCATATAGATACCTACTGATACATACATAGACATCTTCATTAAACATTTTCAACGTATCTGATATAGGAGCCATTAGTTATATTACCAGTTATACATTAATCTAAAACACGAGCTCACGAATAATGGGGAACTAAAACAAGTAATCTGATATTTTTCGCTCGCGAACCCTTACAATGGCTAAGAGCCCTTAGAAAATAAAATCGGTAAAACACTACACTCTTCCATCCTAGAACTCGGAAAATGTTGTTCATCAATCTCGGCTCTAACTTTGTGAGAGGCCTTTTCTATTTCCCACTCTAAAGAACTATTCTACACAGATGCGTAATTGTAATTAATCAAACAACTCCGCCACGTGCGCATCTTTAAATCCTACTTTAATTCATATAATTAATGATTTAACGTATTCTGTTACGTTGTGGTTTTGGACACATTTGTCAAGTGACCCGCTCCGAGTTGGTCATAAAATAAAAAACAAATGTCTACCATAAATAACAGTTATGTTTCAACAACATGGAATATTAAAGTTGATGTTATAGTTGTTAGTCTATAATTATAAACAAAGTTTCGATAGCACTTAATAAATACCTTGTAAAAGAAAGAAATACATAAACACTACTCGTCAAATATATTAAATAAATATATTATACGATTTTTTGATTCGATTTCTATATATGCTGATGATTAGCATAAATTGTTAGCCAAACAAATGACTGATGAAGCGTAATTTCACAGCGCTGTCTGGAAAGTATGAAGAGATGCAGTACAACGAAGTGGAATTCGATGAAACTCCAGACGTGAGCGAACTGGAAGCTCTCAAGCGGAGCACTGGGGCAAGCATTCCCCGTATGAGCTTACACATCGCTCTACTTTTGTCAATCGCCATGTTATAATGCTACTTTGTATATATGAAATATATTGTTACGATTATCTTTTCACTGGCGTTTTATTACTTCCATCTTTTGATTGTTGACGAAAACATACTTAAAAGGTAAAATAGTGTTTTTTATTATATTATTAGTATCTATATTAAGCTTGCTAATAAGTTTTTAAACTTGAAATGTGAGTCGAATGGCACCTACGAATAAACTATCACGCTACCGTTAGTTTCTAAACTCTCAAAAGCTACTCGCTTCTTAGCTAAAAGTGTAATTATAGAAACGTGGAAAGTTCGGCCTCTATTAGTGAACAGTGTTGGAAAATTCAAATAATTATAGCCATTTCTAATTGCTCACAAACACGTTCAATCATTTTCAAAACACCTACGCGTCACTTTGGAAACTTATTGTTTTAAATTTTGCTAACTCGCATGTTCCAATAGAGATAATCCGGTTTTTATGATATTCATGTGACATGTGTAATTAACACAACTACGTTTATAAAAACTAAAATATTAATTTTAGTTTTTATAAACGCTATAAAAACTAAAATATTAATTTTAGTTTTTATAAACGTATTGGTATTCAAATTCCTAATATATTAATAATTGTTGATAATCAGAAATAAGCTCAGAAACTCTTTAACAAAACGTTTATTGAAAAAAATGGTCTTTGACAGATTTAAATAAAAAACAATAAATCGTAAAAGTCAGCTTTGTTTCAGTGAAGACGTCATCGTGATATATCATGCATGGCGTGTCTTGGGAGGTCCATATTTCATATTTGTTGGACTGAAGGAAGCAGCGAGTGAAGCCACCTGCGCTCGGTCACGAGACACCGAGCCGCCACTATAACTATTCTGCGAATAGAATGTAAATTTGACGCATGAAATGACTGAAAGTGTCATGAGTTTCTCTAACAGCCACTTTATGCATCCCTTGAGAATCGAGCTTGCCGTTTGGATTCATTTCACACGTATGCCGTGCAATGCTTTAATTGTTATTACCTTCCAATAATTTCAGATATTGTCTCTGAAGGACAATCGAAGTTTTAATATTCATCGATCAGAAACGAAATGAGTTTTTTACTGTTTCTTTCATTATGGTAAAAGTTTATTGATATCAGTAGTAATTTTGTTACAAAATAATATAAACATGTTCATTGATAAAATTAATAAAACTTTTTTGTAGACATGGCTAGACTTACAGCGAGAGAGTTAGACGATCCCTCTCCTGAAAGCAATAGATATACATATAGATTTACTCATACGTAAGACTTGAATCGGGCCAGTACTTCATTACAGATCGGCTATGACAGACATACGGACGAAACCTACAATGGTTCCATGTCTTTGTTTTCAAACACAGAACACAAAAAACCTGAAATAAACTGGTAGATATATCAACATAGTAGATATATCATATATCAACATCAGTTCCTCTATTTATATAAAGCGTATCTGTTTGCAAAGCTTTTACAAGTCTACTAATTAACATATAATTAGAGCCATGTTACACTGGAAGCGTATTAAATAACACCAGTATGAAGAATAATATATATTTAAAGGAGTTTAGAATTAGCCGAAGAAAGCTTTGTATACTTACTGTTCTTGCAACCAACCGTTCTAATGTCTGAGTGGAGAGAGTCCGTATTCCTTAATAATATTTAAAAAAAAACTATAAAAAGTATAGGTAAATAACATTGTCATTGCTGATTATATTTTTAAAAACTTGTTATATACATATTGTTCGCAATCGTAATATTGCAACATAAGAAGGCAAATAATCACTGCTTTTATGGGCACCATATGTCGTGATCAAGTAATCGTGTAGCTGTATAATATGGACATACTATTGATAATAATTATACACCTAAATATAATAAATTTCAACAGACTATTTAAAAAAATTGCTTTCGACAGTTTTTTTACTGACTGTCGACTAATATTTTTTGGAAATTACAAAATATATTTCAAAATATATAATTCTCTAGAATGACAAATTTATAAAGTGTCCTTCGAGTATAAAGAAGAAATTTTCATTATAACGATAGCTCTCTGAACGTTAATTGGGAAAATTAACGTATAATCAATTTAATTGTTCAACGATAGGGACTAAATATATTCATCATTATTCTATTTTTTAAATAACTAAAATCACATTTAAGATTTTAATTCTTTTAATCGCTTTTATATTTAGCATCTCATGATTTTATGCTTTTTTATATTTTACTTAAAAAGGGCCATAAAACACCCAAGAAGACACAAAGAATGTAAACGAAAACAATGATTATTTATCAAAATAGGTACTCAACCGTTAGGATCACTCTACCGTTTGTCCGTTCATCTGTTATAGCACATTTGTTATGTGACTCAATTGTAATCAACTGCATCGATAGCAGAAATTTAGAAAAATAAGAATATGTTATTCAGTGATCGGTTGCGTAATTTAAGTATTCGAATTTGTATCTTCAATCGGGAGTCAAATTATAAAATAAAATAAAGACAAAACAAGGGGCGTTTAATGCCCAGCGAGCACATTAACCCGCCAGACTACCTCCCGTCAAAGGTAAGAGATGCGCGACTGATCATCTCCCACGCTAACCCGTCTAAGAGAGGGAATTCACCTGGGCTGAACCCTCGTGGATCCCTCACCCCGATAGCCCCGGATAGCGACGTCCAGCCCAGCTTGAGCCAAACCAGTCACCGTAATTCCGTTCCTTAGTCACACTCTGATAGTGGCCCCGCCAGGGCCCGGTCACCCCACACACCGAACAGTGTGTGGCAGCCCGGACCTGACGGCCCCACTACTAGAGTGCAAGATGGAAAATTCCCTCACAAGCCTCTAAGCCACCCGGCCGATCGTTACCAACAGGGTGACAAGGCGAGAAGGTAGCCTTCACGGATTCAGGATCTCGAGTACAGGAACACTACCTATCCAGAGACCCATCGTCTGATCCGCACGGAAGGACATGAGGCACGGGAATTTCGCTATCCACCAGGAACGAGAAGCCCGTGTCCATAACAATAAGTAAAAAATGATAAAATAACTATTCTATCTTGGTCGGTTATTTTTCTTCTAAAGTTTTCCTTCTAAACTACTTCGTAAAAGGAATAAAAAATTTAAAGGACTATAAAATAATCTAGTAGGTACATGAAAATACATAGAACTAAAATAAGCTGTAGTTGTTTTCTTACTGTAATGAAAGTATGTATATATTTGCAAAAAATTCGCCATATAATCAAACAAACAGGTTAATCAGTTAACAAACAATGTAATCAGAGACATTCACTTTAATAGCTTTCCACTCAGATTGAATAATTATAATCTTTTCCCAGAATGAGAACAATAGGACAAAGATTAATATAAATAATTTGTGAAGTGACTTTGATTAATATAGAATTCAAGCCCAAAATAAAAGCGAGAGATTAGTAAACATCGACTTAATATAAGATAGAAAATGACTACTGATTTACCTTACGTGTACATACAGTTATACATCGGTTCATAACCCTAAATTCACCATTATTTCGATTTCTTATCGTATTTATTTTCTTTTTTTTAATATAGAAAGTAACTAAATATATGTGACAAGTGTAGAGATTGTCTTGACGCCTGGCTGAAATAACTACAAAAAAAGGTTAAAATTTAATTGAAAAAGTAGAATAACTAATTTTTGTATTGGAAATCAGCTAGTTGCACAAACTTCCATTAAAATCTCATTAGTTTAAAGCGACATTACCGACACAAATTATATACAATATATTACTTATATATCCAGAATTACTGGGTTTTGTCATCTCTGAGCTATATATCAATTGACCCAACCATCTAATATAGAAAATAGAATGTAAGCATCGGCGTGCTCTTCTTATAGTAAGAGCAATATCTGTGATGTTTTCCGATAGACGAACGGCCTAGATAGTACACCAACGCTCTTAACTAAATGAAGAAGAAACGATGATAAATTTTTCAGTCTTTCAAATTCAAGATACCTAGCTGAATACAAAGAATCTTTTGTAAAGAGCTTTGAACATTTTTGTTGAACCAGTTTGTTTTCGTTGTAACAGTGGTCAATCATTTATCTTATCAATGAATGTCGTCATTAGAAATACGAATAATTATTAGGTAAGATCTTCAAAATTGATACATATCTGAAGAATGTGTAATCAAAGTTGGTTGTATTAATTGTGCATTATAATATAATTCATGTAAAATTCTTATACAGGGTTATTTGTAAGACTCGTTTAAGTGAACGCATGTGTTCACTTAAACGAGCAAAATGATCCCTCAATAATAACTAATATAGATTAGGCACCTTTAAATTGACCATTTTTAAATTAAAAATTTTACACGCTATAATCATACTCAGACAATAATTATTATTATAAACACATTTTAAAAAATCAAACATAGTTGTTCATGGAAATTATATTAAGTGATTACTTCGTTTCTGTGGTATGAATCAAGAACTTTCTTTAAATCCCTGAAATCATTATAAGATGACTAGAACAGCGTACTTACTTGACAATACCTTGTTTTGTTGAATATTTATTCTGTTATGTCTCTGAGGCCTAATTTCATTAGAAATATCAGAGTAAATATCATCAAAACTTAATTTAATTCAGAGTAAGATAGGAAAGTGTTTATAGAGCTTTTCTTTAAAATATCCAGTATTAATCCAATATATTGATCACTCATCGGTGTTGCCCTAACCGAAACAAATAACCAAACTTTGTTGGTCTCTTATTTCGTCGACCAAAGCCATTCGTCACTCTTCAATCTACACCGACTGGAGCACTTTAACCCTTGGTATAGCATTTGGAATTAGCACTGAACTCAAATGTTTGTTGATTAATTAAAACTGAGTTTTATATCATCTAGAATTGATTTAATGCGCGAACACGTCATTACTGGGTCATGTCTCAAATTTTCAGATATAGTACTATATGATTTAGGAATCACCTTTAGCGTTTACCTTTGTCCTTCATTAAAATACGTTATAGAAAGTTATAGACAACATGATTAAATATTTCAATTTACTAACACAAAAAGACGTCATTTCTGTGAAACCTATAAATTTCTAGGTGTGTTAAATATTGATTGATATATTTGAAATTGATATGTTATTGCAGATTTAATAGGCAAACAATTAATTTTGCAGGAATAAGTCGAGCCTTTAAATCCAAATTCCATTTACATCCTAAGTACCAATAATTTCCGTAAAAT